GCTGGCTGCTGGTGCTGGGTGCTGGGTGCTGGTGCTGTGAGCTGGATGTGCGCGTGTTGGAGGCAGGGTACTGGTGCTGCCGCTGGGCGCCGGCACTGGTGCTGGCCCGGTGCTATGAGCACGCCCTGGATGTGAACCAAGAGCGGTTTGAGTTTGCGAGGAACTCTGGAGTAGAGCCGTGTTTGTGTGTTACATGATGTTGTCGGGTTTGCGCGCACACTATTGCAGGCGTGAACTTATATGCGCAACATCATACGGTATCACGCATTGTCAAGTGACGTTTGTGTAATACCTGCGATCAGTGAGTGCAGGGTGATGTCCATCCTTTCTATGCTTGTGATATCTGAGGTCTATGCTGGTGTAATGTTTGTTTGAATGTTTTTTCTGGACCATTTGAACACCTGTGGTATATGTTAAAGTCAGCACGCAGGACTATATTCTTCGCACTCGAACGTCGAACGGAGTCGAGAATGTGTTCTGCCTTAGGAGGAAGATGTGAACGAGCTGTGGTCGGGAGGCGCCAGTGTCTGAGCACCCATGTCCATGCAGGACGCAGGTTGCGTCCTTACATCGCACTTCGCAGCATGACCAAGGCCAGGTTCGAAGATGTGCAAGAGGCGCTGTTGACGGTCCAAAGGACCACTCGGCGCTATGTGGAGGAGCGCGTTTGCGCCGGCGTCGGGCGGGGCCACCATGGGTTGTCCCTATCTACGTCCCTGGCGCTCCGGCAAACTTGTTGTCAGAAATAGTGGCCTGCAGGACTTGTGCTCCAAGTTTCCACGTTTCCTTCACGGGAAGTTCTGACCTCAGTCTGCTTTGAGCCAGGTGTGAAGAAAATTAAAGCAGAAAGTGAAAGTGCTCTGCCGTCTGCTTCCCCCCTTCCACCTGCTCTCTTCCGGCTGCCAAATGCGGCCGCAGATCACTGAGGACCCTTGCAGAGTTCTTCCTTGACCTTGAAGCTTTGGAGTGCCCACCTGCGGTGGAGGAAGAGCACTTCCTCTGGTGTGCCTGGACCGGAGGCGCGCGGCCGGTGACGGCGCTGGAGAAGTTCGCTGTGCGGCCAGAGCCTCATCATCCGTTCATCTCATTGCAACCGTTCTTTGCGGCATGCTTTCGAAACCTTTGGCCTACTTTGATTCTGTTCATGCAGCTTTTGATCTCAGGGATAGTTGGGCTCGCGGCCGCCAGACTTGGCTGGCAGTGAAGCCAGAGGAAGGCAAGCGGCTGCATGTCTCGTCCAGAAGAACACACTGGCGGGGACCGCGCGCGCAGATGGGATTTTTTTGACCAAAAGCCATTGGACTCTTTGAGTGTGCCCCACATTGGGGAACGTGCGTGGTACAGTTGCATCCCTTAGTGAGCAGCCTGATAGCGGCGGGCCACATTGGAAATCTTGCACATTGACAGTCAAAACGCCCTTTCCGCGCACTGCCATGCTTTGCATTGAACATTACTGGCGCCTGGGCTTCAGGAGCCTCAGAGAGGCGACGCAACGCTTTTGCGCCGAGGAAGCGGAAGTTTGCTGATGCAGAGGCTTCATGCGAGCAATGTTTTCTTTTCAGTTCCATATTACGTCGCGAGAAACCCAAACCACGGAGATGCTATAAAAAGTGTGTCAAGGGACTCAGGGAACCCCAATATGTGTTGGACTGTTCCAAATTCGCATATAACTATTGTAGACAAGCTGGATCAACTCTTGATCAGACCTGTGCGCGAGGTATCAGAGAGCCCTTTACGTTGCTCCATTTGCTCTCGTGGTCCTGGTGAGATACCTTGGCTTCGATGGGTGTACAACAAACAAAGCAAGTTGAGACGCCCGGTGGGCGGGCGCTGCATGGACTGCAACAAGATGGTCCAATCGGCGCTGGAGCGGAAGGTCTTCGGCCCTGACGTGTGCACGGCCAACACTGTGTGGAAACACAAAGGCCTGCGAAGCAGAGCGGCCAGCTACCGAGACGAGTGGTGCCGGATGTCGCCGGCGGAGCGCTTGCGTGCGCACATGGGCGCAGTGGGACAGCAGGCTGTGCAGCTTGTTGAGACTGACGAGGCCGTCCTCACGACGACGCCGTATGACCTGCTGCCGCTCGAAGAGCCGTTGCAAGACAAGGTCAGGATTGACAAACCTTCCTTCTTCCAAAGAGACACACACA